ACATTTCTCTAGAGGTTCCCACAAGAGTGCATGGGTGACGCTACCGCGTTGAATATACGCCCCACTGCCTTGTGGGTGAGACTTGAGTCCAAGGCTCTGGTTAGGGTTCCCAAAGAAAGAAATCTTCGTCGGTGTATGCTGTCGCGAAGTATGTTATGCCCTAAATTCTTGGACACACTTTTGGAAAAACCTTTTCCATCCATCTCAATCAATAAGTTGTGTTCTAAGTGAATATTTTCCCATTTCAACCGTACAGGCCTTCATGATTATGGCGTTAACTCCTCTAATATACATCGTGTCTTGTTACAACAAAGAAGAGTATGAAACTCTAACATCCGGGACTATAGTCCGATTGTTGACCCACTGACAATTCACCTAAAGGATTTGGCTAAGAGCCATGATTCCGAACCGGCCAAGAGGAGCAATCCAAGCTACAACTTCATGGTTCATTGGGACTCACGGATTTGATGGGATCTCGAGGCATATTAAGCATATTGGCGCGGTACCAAAGAGTGTAGGATCCAATGAGCTGAACACGAGCCTTCGATGGATTGCGGTTTTCACACCGGCTCGCTATTTTGCGGGTGGTGTTTTGGCTAACCAAAGAACCTGATTGTGTATCACTCGCCTGCTTTGGCTTGGGCAACCGGGCAATATTCCGCACACAAGCAAATCGTGAATCGATTTCTTTTCTATCAAGATTGCTGTACTGCATCAACACACTAGGGTGAAATATAATATGACCTAATCAATCGTTAGACTGCATGTTGTGGTTGTAACCTAAACAGTGACACTGTTTTATCCATTCACTTTCTGCGTGGATTGCTTGCATGCATTTTTATTTTCTTATCGATCTCAACTTTTCACACCTCTACTGCTCAACCCAGTAAGTATCAGAAAGTCGGTAACCTAAAAAGGAATGGTTTTACAAAGTGGGGGATGATTGAAAAGTTTTGCTCTTCCTTGTTTAATGTTTAATGAAAACCTGAAAATCTTACGAGCCTCGCGCAGCCTCATCATTTTTCGTTTTTATCGTTAGCAGTATGAACCCCTCATTTTAACCAAGCTTCAAACCTCTACAGTTAGACTGCTGGAGCTCTGAACAGTTAACCAGACGTTTTACTTAATTTGTTCATTATATGAGTCAACCCATCTTTGTAAAGTTATTGTGAGTAAATTACCTCGATCATCTTAACCTTGGCGTTCGTTCTGAGTTTGATTGATTGCATCCCGGTTCACTACCGTGTCACTGGTGCAGATTCGATGCCTAAGCGCAATTCCTTTATGTATATGACTTATAGAGTTTTTTCCCTCTCCCAGGGCAACCGAGGAGTAACATGCCCACACAGCTTGTGCACATATTCTGCATTTTTTCGTCGTATATTGCGGCAAATACCAGTTCTATGCAATTATCCACGCCTATTCAATATCTACATTACACATTCGTATCTAATTTGTATAGACTAGGAGCTCGGTAGCGGTTAGCCAGGTTCCTTTCGCTCCATTATGCTGTACAATGACGATGTTCTAAATGACGACAATTTTCCCCTCGAAGCTCGATTGATTTTCGAGCTTGACGCATACAACTCGAAGTATTGAAGCACAATCATCGTAATCAATTATATCTAGAAAGCAAAATCGGTCGCTGCAAATACTATCCCGAGGTATATAGAGGTTACTCATGGCCTGTGTATGTAGCAAGTACAATTTTGAGAAGGGATTAATCGAAGACCACCGACTACAGGTTTTAATGGTTGATGGGCGGTAACAGTCACAAAGTTGGACGCCTGCTCCCGGGCATTATATCCGGTTATTGATACACTATTCCTGAAGTAATGGGAAGCCGTTAGAATAACACGTGTTCTATTTGCGTTGATTCATGTATAGCGAACTTCGCATTTCGTATTCCAGATTACATTACTCATCAGTAACCATGAATCGTGGTTACAAAATTTGTACTCATTGGGTTAATCCTACTTGGCATCCACGCGCTAGTGAAACATCAGGCACATTGCTTTGTGTCTAAGCCTTCATGTAATGACCATTATTAATAAATTTGAATAGTTCCCTAAAATTCCCGATTTCTGCCATGGCGGGCTAGGTTTTGCTCTTAGGGACCGCGTATCTTGGTACATCTGCGGGGCACTTCGTACCAGTTGTCTTTCCGTGGTGGGTGCTTTTGGTAAATGAGAGAACATAATGACACTGTCTGTGGCTGTGACTGGGATACTGTCTTACATTATCTCTCAACTGGAGAAGGCGGAAAATTCTAGTACCAAACACCCAGTCATGCGGCGCGGCTTGTGGTCTTCCTGATCTTGATGACTATCAACACGTTCAGGTTTATTGGGCATCCGAACAGGTTCTACGATAGACTGAATAAAAGAACTTGTTTGAGCTGAGGCTGTGGCATGGTTGTGCTTGCAAGTGCTCCTTACTTGTTTGTTGGAAAGTTAGACGTATCAGAAACTGGTTCAAGGGCTTGTTATTCACGTACAAAGCATCAGTTATTCTTGTCGGTTAGCAAGGTTTTACACACTGTCTTGCAAACGGACGTTTGGTGCACCAGTTCACTATATTACAGTAAGCAGTTACTGATTTATCTCCACCCTAAATCGTGAACCCCCATTTAACCGGGCGACTTTTGTTTGATTCCCAGTTTACGCTCGCAACAAGGACCTTAGGCACGAGCTTAGCGCTCAGGTTTCAGTTTCAGTTTGTACAACCGCTAACCATGCACATTTAGACACCGATTTTGGTTGCTGTCTTTTGGCTGCCCATTTGGATAGACAGGAGGAGAATGACAAAAAGGTTGAAGGTAAAATCAGAGAGAAACTGGAGAATTTCAGTGAACTAAGGTTGCAAAGAAATTGACATGATGCATGAACGTCACTGTTTACGACATATTTCATATCACTTAGAGTTTCTCTAACCACCGGTTACTGTGATCTCAGGGTCCCAATTCAGTGAGCCTGACGGCACCTTTGTGACCCAATGTCCCGGTTAGGGTTTTCATACCCTCATGTTATGTCTTGAATTGACCACCGTGACCTTTTTCAGACTGTTTCCTGACTCGGCAAACATCGTTGGCCGTGGCAATCTATCTGGTGACATGCGCAACACATGTTTCAACCAACGTAGTCTGTGGAGGTCGATCACTTGTTCCAGCAGACGGACACAATTACCTAAAACTATGCGCCTTATCTCAACATTGCTTGCTCGTATACATGTAATTGCTGAACAAGTGATTTGGAGTAAATATACAGCCAATTTGGTGGCAAAAATTACTTGTGAATCCCAGCTCGTAATCCTTTTGTCATATTAAGTTTTGCATAAAACCAATCCTAATGAAGTGGGATTTTCAGATTGTGATTAATGGGAAGCAAAACGAAACTAAGTCACAATAACCTCAGCACACGAAAAGTCCCAAAAATACCATGAAACTGGTGATAAAAAGGTAGTAAACTGTTAGCAGCCACTGTTTCAGGGGATAAAAATGTTCCGACTAGCACAAAACGCTGTTCGTCAGTGGAACCTGGTTTGCTGTAAAAGTGAGTGAACGATTCATTATATATAGTAGCGTCTAGATTTCACGCTATTTAAAGAATGAATATATATATATATATATATATATATATATATATATATCGCACGCAGTGGCGACCTATTTGGTAACGCGCAATATATCTCCCAACCACCATAGGCTATGA